GAGTGCATGCTTTGATTGGAAGACATTGGACTATATAGGAGAGGAGGAAGGGGTGAGAAGATTCCCTTAAAGACCCATTTAGTGATGGGACATGATTGGATTATATATATTCTTTCTTAATTGTACTTTGGGAGTTTTGATAGACTAATATTTTGTGGTTTTGTACTTTGGGACATGATTTTATTGCATTTATTTTCTTACTTTCCCCTAATTTTAATTGTCATTTAGATGTTTTTATTGTATGATAGAATCTTACTATTTTTTACTTGCTAAAACCCTTAAATTCTCATTTACGCAATTCTTCGTCGATGAGGCTTACGCCTCACACCGCCTCGAGGCTTACGCCTCGCCTCACGGACGAAAAACGCCTCGAGGCTTATATCTCTAGACGCCGCTAAAGCCCAAAGAAAACCTAAATCTAAGAGATCTCAAATTTCAGTCAAATTCAAGATACTCAAACCCTAGAAAAATCAACTATTTAATGCATACAAATCAAAAAGGAATTCCCTAAACAGTCCCTACAATCAATTTCCCTCCTAAAATCCATTCAAAAACCTTCATATTCGGCCCTGTTTGACCTCGGCAGGCGTGCGGGGGGCGAAACTTCCGCCTCGCGTAGCTGGGCCGGTCCCGCGTGGACCGGTCCATTGGACCGGTCTAACAAACATCTTCCATGCAAATGTTGCTTGATTAATTGATTATTGTGGTGACTCTAATTCTAGCTACGCGACTTGGCCTAAACTTGTTTGACCGCTCATTGTGTTTTATTTTGTCGTTTAAATCCAACATAAAGTTATAATTAACTTGCTCTTGGAATAAAGGCGTGCAAGATCCTCATTTCCATTTCTTTTAAATTATGTCCTGCATGGCTGCATCAATTAGATTTCCAATATCTCACCTTCTTTTCCAACCCGCTCATCACCATGTGAGTGGAAGAGAACTAGATGTGCCCATCCTTGAGGGTTCAGAATGAGAAGTAATGGCAAAAGAAGATGTTGGTCTAAGCGATTTTCGGCGTCCTCATGTGTGAAATCGGGGTGACTGCTCACACATAAGTTTGGCATGATAAAAGAGAAGAGTGCATAGAAATTCAGTACGTCAATGATCTTCGGGCACAGAGGGTGTCGTAGCCCTAACCTGAATTGGTCAAAATAAAAGCACAATTGTCGTTATGAAAAGTGCCGGGGAACTCACCTTCATTATGGACTCACATGGTGCAGTTTTTGTCCTTGAAGCAGTGGCACAATAAAGTCATGCCAATGAATACTAGAGTGGAGGTAGATGCTTGAGTATACTTAGCAACTACAAAAGCTTGTAAAACTGCATCAAAGTCATCGTTTCAAGAACACAACACTTGCGCCCATAAAGAGAAAAGAAGTGAGTCAAGCGATAAAAATAGAATGATGAGTAAATAAAGAGCACGGAGGTGTCAAAGAAGGCCGAAGGGGTCTTTATAGAAAGATGATGGAATTCTTGAGGCAAATGTCACATTTAATATAAACGATCAAAACTTAAATCAAATCTCATATCATCATGACAAAGAACCTATTTGCATTCCAAAACAATAAATATGGCAATTCCATGTGTTAAGTGACTGAAAGAAACTCCTCACACACAAACGTGTAAATTATATGAACTTGACATAGTAAATGTACAAAACACTACGTTCATAGCAAGTGGTCAATATTTAGAACAAAAGCAAACGAATTTATTCTTAAGTGCATTTATACATGACCAATTTCGCCTCTACTCATTGTTAAGAAAAAAAGAGTAAAATAAAGTCTAGTAACAATTGGGAAAATAGTTCCACTTTTAACCAACTATCGGAGGATGAACTTGTCCCCAGTCAAAATTGAGTCAGCATATAAGACTTCATGAATTGGTGAGCAAACTTCTCAAGGAATGAAATCAACAATCTCATCAAGAGCAACAAAGGAACATGTCTTTTGCCCCAAGTAAATGAGCCTCTTTCTCTCCTTCCTCCCCTCTTCAGCATTTCCTAAACATCGGCGAGCTGATCATCAAAGGTGTGCATTCGATCCCACATGGAGGATAAAAAATACTTCAATTTAGTGACAGCGGTACCCTCACCCTCCAGTAGGCAAGATAAAGTAGGGTCGCAATTATCAAAAGCTATTGGATGAGTGAGTCTTGAACGTGATCTTTTGGGGCATGATCATAAAGGAATTTGCTCTCAGTATAACCATTAGCCCCACCAAAGTTGATCTCTCCAAAAATCCCTGCAACCTACTCCCCCTTGTTATTTCTAGGTTGTCTAGCTAAAATGGTTCCTATTTTATTTAGCCAAAGGTCAGATGGTGGAAACTCCTTACTTGAAAAACTATCAAGAGAAATCTTCACAAATAGTCATCATAAATATTTTGCCTAAAGACAGGAATCAAAGGCCAAGCCAGTAAAAACTATGGACTTCAACTATATTGCTCAATCACCTAAGAGCTCACTCATAGTGAGATGTATCATAAGTACACTCAAGATGTGCAATTTAGAATTCGCTGAGATAGTTCCCTTTTTCTATTTTACCTCTAAGAACAACTTATTGTTGCTTAATTCTCTCCAATAAAGCATTAAGAACATTCATCAGCCCATTCTACAAGTAAAAAAAAATGCTTATAAACTAAAATTTTTCAATAATCTTCACTTTAATTTAACCAATGTGAGACTAATTGATTCAAAACTACTAAGTGGGCTACTCCACGCACCATGGGAGTATGCCCTTGCCTTGCTTGGTCTAACTTTCATTTATCTATTCTTCCTCATCTCAGCAAGCTAACTTGACCTTTTCCCTTCATCCTCCACTCAAACTACTTTTTAATGCAAAAAGGCTCAGGGAAACTCATGATTATCAATGTTCACCACCTTCAGCAAGGAGATACCAATTCCTATGCAAATTGAGATGGAGGGTCAAGGAAAAAAGTGAAACAAGAGAAAAGAGCAAGCCTAAAGGGGAGAAATGTTGTCCCTATTTATAGATTTTTGTGGCCATCAAAGTACAAAGCAATCAAACAAACACTATTATTAAATACATAAATGGGACCTCATCACCAAAGCAGGAATAAAATAGAATAATAAAAAATATAACTTTCTTTTTACTGATCAATAAAAATAATAAATACTTTACTTAAATTTCCTATTCTTTTTGCAAGTTACTATCCAAATAAATAAGAGAATCAAGAAACTAAACACATACCCTATGATGCAACCAAAATTTTTGAAAGTTAAGGTTGCAAAAGCTAAACATCTTCCTTTCGAAATGACAACAATTAACACACTAAATAAGACACAAAACCTGACAATAACAAATAAAAAGGACACAACATGAAACACATGCAACGACACCTTACAACTTGTAATAGAAAAGGTTAAAACACCTTACAATGACTCAACACAACTTTTATATTTTTTTAGAGAAGAATGATACAATGGAATGATAACTTGCGGTGAGAATAAATAGAAAAGAAGCCCGAGACGAAGTTATAGAGAGGAGAAGAGAAAGGGGTACATAGCTCACAAGCTATCAAAGAAGAACCCTCAAGTTTTCTTTCCAAAAAATCGTCACATAACCTCTTTAAAAACTGCCCAAAACTCTCCTTTAAATAGGATAGAAGCAACCCAAAGGTCACCCAAACAGCCAACCAAAAAAGGTAGAGGAAAAAGGTAGCATTTAAGGCTCCCAGAAATTGAACCACCACAACCAAGAACCAGGACAGAAACAGGAACCGAGGGACCCAGGCAAAGGAACCGAACAGCCAAGCAGGGAGCAGGAACCGAACAACCCAAAGCAAGGGGAACTGGGACAGCAGAGAGCAGAAACCGAACAGCCCAAAGCAAGGGGAATCGGGACAGCATGGAGCAGGAACCGAATAGCCCAAAGCAAAGGGGTTACGACTTGCTTACATCACTCTAATATGCAAATTCACATGAATTAAGGAGATTACGTGAACTTTTCGAAAGATCAAGATGGCAAAATAGCCACATGCCCTAACCTGAGGGCATTTTCCTTGGCCAAAGGAATCATTCGCCTGAGCAATACAAGAGACTCACCTCATGAGAAAATAGAAAATTACAAAAATGCCCCTTGTGTCACAACACTCAAATAAATTAACCTAGGGGTAAAATAGAAAATAACATAAAATAGAAACTAAAATGCATAAAATAATTCATAAATGACAACTTAAATTAGAGCCGTTGATTTACGACGCCTCCTGTGATAGATGCGCCAGATTTTCGTGCCGATGTCTGCATCACCCTATCTATCCAGAGAAGGAAATTTTTTCTATTCAGTTAGCAATTATACCCATACTCCCATATGAGATAGTTGTACATATGTCCTTGACAAAATATTATCCACATGTATGTGATAGTCATATCATGTGTTTTTTTTAATCACTTTATATTGACTTAAGTGTAATTTATCTTGTAGCACCTAAAACAATATAAATATGGGATCAAAGGCCATTTTCACACAAAGTAATTTCTACAACTGCTTTTATCTTTTTTTACGATGGCAACAGAAATTTTCGAGCTTCTCTCTCAAGAACTCCTCTTATCTCTCTTTCTTTCTCTCACCATCCTTCTCTTTGTTGAAACCTGGCAATTCTTGTTAGTAGAGTTCGAGTGTCACCCATGGACATCAACAACAAGGGCATAAAATTAATATTCCAGTTCATGTTTGATTCCAGATACATTGCTCACACAGCCATAGCATGTATATTAGGTCTTAACAATGTAAATGTAAAAAATGCGAACCACTTTAAGAAGGGAACAGCCAAATGATTTGGCTCTTTGAGTTTGAAAACCAACCAGCCGAACAGCTCATCTGAAATCTTCAACTCAGAGGTAAACAAAGATCCGTTACTCAACAGAAAGAAACAAAAGAAACGTGAATCTGGCCTATTAATGAAATGAAAAAGCACGAACATTGCAGATAAAGAAACCCTTAAATCTGAAAAATAGGAATAAGCATCTAAGAGAGAACTCACAATGCGATCGTTGGTCCCGATGGCCCCTTCAAGAATGCGAACACGAGCGCGCGTTTCCTCGCAGAGTTTCTTGATAAGCTCTCCTTTTCGCCCAATGATACTCCCAACCTTAAGCACCGGCACAATAAGCCTGAATACGCTGTCGCCGGGCCATCCCGGCCATTTCTTCGTATCCTCATCAGCACTCTCGGCTGCCAAAGCTGCATCAACGACGTTGTCCAGTTCTTCAGCCTCCATCAGATCCTCCTCGTCCTCGTCGTGCTGCTCGGAGATGAATTCGTCCTTGACCTCCGATGTGCCGTTCAAAGTGTTGGCCGCCGCCATGGATGGAGTGAGCTTGGACAAGTTAGGGTTTTGGAGAAGCGCAAGGGTTTGCGGTATGCGGTGAAAAAGGGCCAATTGAAAAGAACGATTCGGCTGAGCTCGTTATAATGTCGCTGGCGATTGATTTGACGATTCGTACGTGGTTAGATATATATACGTGGCAGTCACGTATGTTGGACCATAGAAATTATTATGTGCGGTTACTTAGGCTTCTTTTGGGACGGCTTTCTTTCTGCTTCTTAAAGCGGCTTTTTAGTACAAAAATTTAATTTTTGTACTAAAAAGCCGCTTTAAGAAGCAGGAAGAAAGTTGTCTCAAACAAAGCCTTAATCTCTTTCGAATTCAAATCAAGGACGATCATGCCACCATTTTTTGTACCGATGTTATGTATATGTCAGGTAATATGACGCATGCTGATTTTCCTCTGAATTATCCAATAACCTCACCAAATAATTTCTTCCAAAATTGTCTAGATTTTGGGTCGAGTGCTTTTTGTTAGCTCATTATATCTCAATTGTACACATGGACCTATCATCACTATTTCTTGTTTCTTTATCACTATATATTAACCTAGTTTGTAATAGAATTGATCTATCTAATACACAGCATTTATTTTTCCTCTGCTCTGTTCTCTCGTGTCCGTCTCGGTTCCCCTCTTCTTCCCTCTTTTCTCATATGGTATCAAAGCTATAATGGCGGATCAAGATTCTGCAGCTTCTAGCCAAACCACTTCGGATCTCTCTAATGCCCTCTCTGAATTATTGTTCTCACCCCTGTAAAATTCCTCATATCAAACTTGAAGAATCTTGTTCCCACCCAGCTCACCGCCGACACATACTATATATGGCGCCTTCAACTTCTACAGCACTTCTCTGTCAATGGCTTTGTCGGACACCTCACCGGAGCCATCTCTTGTCCCACCGATCAAACCAGCAATTACTACAAACTTTGTATCTTATTGATCAAAATCTCATTTCTGCTCTTCTTTCCACTATATCCACCGCGATTTTGCCCTACGTTCAACCTTTATCCACGACTCATGATATATGGACCGTTCTTGACCGCCGTCTACAACCGAAAAATCGCTCACGAGTCATTTAAATGAAGAATGAGTTTCACAATATTCAAATGCGAGATCGATCCATGCAGCAATACCTCACTCAAATCAAGACTCTCGTTGATCAAGCCACGGCTACCGGCTCTACGATCGACATCGAAGACATCGTCATCTACATCCTCAACGGACTCCCTTCCTCCTACAATGCCTTCACAACTGCCATTCGCATGGCTCAGTATCCCATTAATCTTGACATCTTGTATTCCCTCCTCTGCAGCGAGGAAATTAACCTTCACAATCAGCAATTGAAAGACTCCATCACACCTTCGGACCAAACTGCACTATACACGAATTGCAAAGGACTACTCCAAGAATCGCAGTTCCTCTTGCTATCCTAGAAACTGTAACAGCTCAACTACTGGAGCATCTTCATAACTTACTACCAACTCAAACACCTCGGCTAAACCAATGTGCCAAATATGTGGTAAAATCGATCACTCTGCTCTCAATTGCTGGCACCGTTGTAATCCTAAATACGCGCCCACCATAAATTGGCCACCGCGTGAAATAATCAATCAACAACCCAACAGCAACTCCAACAAATGGATTCTTGATTCAGGCGCTTCTACTCACCTCACGCCTGATCTTGCGAATTTGCAACAATCCTCTTCTTACAACGGCTTAGACTCCGTCTCCATCACAAATGGCTACACCGTCCAGATCCAGCACACCGGCCATGGCATTCTACCGCTTCCAGATTTGACTCGTAAGCTCCACTTGCATAACCTTCTACACGTCCCCAACCTTACCCATAATCTTCTCTCTATCTCAAGACTAGCTAATGACAATCATGTTTCGATCTCTTTTAAAGCTCACGGATTTATTATAACTTACCTTCAGGATAATCGACCTCTTCTCCATGGTTGTCTCCGTGAAGGGCTCTATCAAGTTCAGGCTCTGCCTCCTCCATCTCAAGTTTCCTTTCAAGCTCAACCTACCTCCTCCTCCATTTAGCATTCTCGACTTGGCCATCCTCACAACATAACCTTTTCACCGTTTAATAAAAGTCTTTTCCTTACGTCTAAACCTTTCAAATTAATTCATTCAGACGTATAGGGTCTGTCCCCTCAACAATCCACAAATTGCTACAAATTTTATGTCATCTTTATCGACGACTTCTCACGCTTCACCTGGTTGTACCTAATGAATTCTAAAGACAAAACTCTACACAATTTTAAAGATTTTTTCTCTTTATTCAAAAACAAATTTAACACCACGACTCAGATTTTTCGATCTGACGGTGGCGGGGAATTCAACAGCAATATGTTCAAAGAGTTTCTATCCTCCAAAGGTATCACCCATCAACTCAGTTGCCCTCACACTCCTCAACAGAATGGGATAGCCGAACGGAAGCACCGTCATATGCTCGACACTTCCTGCACTCTTTTGCATGCTTCCTGCCTTCAAATCTCCTTATGGTCCGAAGCCGTTACCACATCAAACATACTTAATAAATCGGCTACCTTCCACATCTCTCGCCCTGCAAACTCCATATACAAAACTTCTAAATAACCCGCCCAATTATAACTATCTTCGCACCTTCGGCTGCCTCTGCTTTCCTTGGTTACGCCCCTACACTTCTAATAAACTCTCGCCTAGTTCTCAACCTTGTATATTTCTCGGCTATTCCTTGTCGCACAAGGGATATCGATGTCTCAATCTTCAATCCAATCAAATTTACATTTCGCGCCATGTGGTTTTTAACGAAACAAAATTTTCGTTCAAGAATCAAAATCTTAATCCTTCAAACAAGCAATCTTCCACCCATACTTCTCCTTTGCTCCTCACACCAACATCGGTCTCTATCATCAGCCCCACTCAAACCTCTATACCAAATTCCTCACCGCAATCCAATTCTCCAATCAGCTCCGCTCCTAGCTAGCCCTTCTTCATCTAATCATAGATCCTCACCGCTAGATCTCTCAATCTCTAACAGGGGGGGGAGTTTCTTTCTTTCTTGCATCAATATCAAACATACATCATCAGCCTTTCTTTTAAGCCGACAGCACTATGTTAAAGCAATTCTTCAAAGTGCAGGTCTCACGGAGTGTAAACCTGCGTCTACTACAATCAATCTTAAGCCAAACTCTGCAAAGGATGTCGATCAACCTTACAAGGATCATCAACAATATCGGGAACTAGCCGGATCCTTATAATACATGTCCATCACCAGACCAGATATCGCATTCGCCATCAAGTATATTTGTCAACACATGCACTCACCTACAACTCAGGATTTTCAAATTCTTAAACGCTTACTCCGCTATATCAAATGAACCTCTCATTTTTGCCTTCCACTTATTACTGGTGACATCAAACTCCGCACCTATACAGATGTCGACTGGGCAACTGACTTCAAAGATATAAAATCTATCTCGGCTACCACACATTCCTCGGTAACACCCTTATCTCCCTGGTCAATTAAGAAGCAGGTAATGGTAGCTAAATCAACTAATGAGGCGAAATATCGTTCGCTCTCTTTCACAATTGCCGATGTCCTCTGGCTTCCCAGACTCGTCGCCGAACTCCAAATTCCTCAATCCTCTCCAACGGTCATCTACTATGACAACACATCCGCCATCACCCTCGCAAACAACACGGTCTTTCATCCTCGCACAAAATATATCGAAATGTATTTTCACTTCATCCGCAAGCATATGAACAACGGAGCTGTCTCAATTTATCACATCAGCTCTCTCGATCAACTGGCAGATATCCTCACAAAACCTCTACCGGCCGCTAGATTCAAAGACCTTCGCTACAAATTGACCATTTAACCTAAGAATGATCAATTTGATGGGGCCTGTTAGCTCGTTATATCTCAGTTGTACACGTGGACCTATTATCAATGTTTCTTGTTTCTTTATCACTATATATTTACTTAGTCTATAATAGAATTGATCTATCTAATACACATCATTTATTTTTCCTCTGCTCTGTTCTCTCGTGTCTGTCTCGGTTTCCCTCTTCTTCCCTCTTTTCTCACACTTTTCTTGGGTCGGAACGGGTTAAGAACATGAAAATTGTGATGTTAAACTAGATTGGCATGAATAATTAGCTCTTATCATTTTTTTTATTTTTTATTTAGCTCTTATCAATTTAAAGTTCAAAACGATTGAAATTATGGTTACAATAAATAATTCTACATATTAATATAATTCAAATTGTCCCAAAATTTAGGTTCCACAGCCATCCTAAATTGTAAAGTTATTAAAAAAATCAAATTAGTTAAAATATCAGGTTTGGATAATTCAGTTTGCTAGCGGACAATGTTCGTATTAGTTTGTTTTACTCATTTATTAAACGGATCATATTCAAGTTCACTAGATTCATATCAATTCAATTTCGGATCAGGCCCCAACTTAACCCGTCAACCCGTTCTAACACCCCTAATGGAATAGATGATCATGTTTTTTCAATTAGAATGCTAATTAATTAATGTTATTTTTAATAAATTAGTATAGCTATAATTTCTTTTGAAAAAAAAAATTCAGATCGTTGGTCATATTTTTTAAAGCAATGCTAAACTCCTAAGATTAATTCCAAAATTTAAAAAAAAAGATTTTTTATTATAACATATACATTTTATTTATTTACAAATTTATTATCTTTCTTGTTGCATGATATAATATTAGTGGCAATATAGAGAGAGTTTAATATTTTAAATTTGTACTGAGATTCATCAGGTACATAAATTTAAATACCCTAATTTTTATATGAAAACTCCTATAGGGCAAAAATCGTGAAGCTTTGTTCAAATTTTTGCCCTCTAGGAACTTTAATTGGTATTTAAAGTTTAATATTAAAGTTCCTTAATAGGGTAAAGTAATATTAAATGTTATTATAATATTAATGTTCCTAATAGGATGTTATAAAGTAATATTAAAGTTCCTAATTTTACAGTCTTCTATTTTCATGTCATTATGGGAATAGTAATCAGTTTGATGATTTTTTTTTTAACTTATATTAATAAGATATAGGGCCTTGCTATATA